CATCCTAAGTGATTTTTGAAATATGTAACAAAGCTGCTTGTGCCAAGCAGACTGGTATCAGGCAACGTTAAGACTTCACTTACATATTTGATGTTCTTAGCAAGACGCACAGCTATACAACGATTACCCACATTAGTTCCGTCCAGTTTTATAATTGCGTTGGTGGCACCCTCATTTTGTGTAAATGTGACAAATGCATATCCACGCGACTGGCCGACCATTGGACCGCCCTTATGAAATAACATGTCAAACTTTTCAATGGCACCGCATTTTTGCATAAGTTTGAGAAGTTGAAACCGATAGTTGTCAAAAAAATATATATATTAGCACAATTCAGAGGGAAAAAATCGAATGCACAATTGCACAGTTCACAACTTACTCGGTGATGCGTGCGTCCAGATTTCCTACCCAGATACGTCGGTGTTCCTCAGAGATAGCAGTGAATTGTGTCTTCACATTTATGCTGTGATTCCCAGTCGCGCTACCCTGAAACACAAAATAGATTAATTAGTATCGTAAGCAATAATTTTATCTTTTTATACATACTGTACATGCCATTTTTTCCACAGATTATTTATTAAAACATCGATAGCTCGATAAACGAGTGCAACATTTTGGATGGTAATTCTTCGTGTAGTCGCCCCACATAAGGAACGTCCAAGTGAGTCGGGCGTAGTGTTTATTGTCAACGCTTAGAAATGAGAGCTGCTAACTATCGATGACAAGACATTATAAAAATCGAATTTTCGATTTAGCGGAGGCTATTAGAAATTTAAAATATGTATATGAAAAATTTCAGGAAATACTATTTGCATTTGCAATGTTTTGTTTAATGTAAAAATAAATGTTAATTGTTCTTAAATGCTATATAATGAAAACAATAAATTATAAATACAAATTAGATGGTAACTATACTTAGTTTATACATTATTGAAAGAAATTTAGTTTTTTAATAATTTATTCAAATTTATAATTCCACTAGCGTTTATCAACCTTAGCCGTGCCAGGTTTTTTATTTCAAATTTGATGCAATTAATTTGGGCCCACTGCAGCCGTTGGAATATTAGTATCTCCCGTACTGCATCATGATGTCTCACATTTTAAACATTTTACATAGATATTTTAAAATGAGTTTGAAGTCAATCGAACGGTTGACATAAAAATATCATTGAACCGTTTTCCGAGATTTTTCCGCACTTGCTAATTGAGCTTCCCAAAACACTGTCTTAGCGTATCGCACAGGGTATCTATAGGCATCATTCCTATAACTATATCATCTTAATTACGTTCTTGCGTCTTCATTTCTAAGTTAATGGGCTTCCGCATTTTTCGTGCGTCAGACGATTTGATTGGCGTTGACAAAAAACTTTCCCGCGTCAATCTTAACTGCAATAAATAATGGAATTGTTAGCTTAGATATTACTATGTGGTTTACACAGATTTTACACGTGCGGGTTTTCACCCGTGTGTATCATATTGTGAAATTGTCCGAATATTTAAACTTTAAAGGCACACATCAATTTCGTGTTGGGGTCGCTGTTGCACTCTGAATGGCTGTCGTACACGATCAAGCTTCCAAGCTTCTTTGTGGAAAATGTAGGTCAAATAATTTGAGGGCGAAGTTTTCTTCTGTGGAAAATGGAGGGCGAAGTTTTAAGTTTCATCTGTGCGGGATCAACCATATTTTCAAATATCTTTGTTAAATTAAATGACATGATTGACAAACATGCATTTAATTTGATACCGAAAGGAAACGAATACCGTGGTAGTAAACCTTTAAACAAATGTAGACGTTCTGTAAAAATAGATTGCTTTATGCCTATATTGTTACGCCCATTATCTAATATCTCCTTTTGTTTTCATTTATTCCAAACGAAATATCGTTTTGCATTTATATTTCTTTACGTCTGCGTGAAAATAAGCGATAACGTGTAATGCTATGTAATTTAAATACTGTAAACCAAATATTAAAGCGTGATTGGATTTTAAAAAGGGTAGATTGGAAACATTGATTTGAGCCTTGCAATAGGCAAATATACTCTATTCACTTTGTGAACAAATATAAAAACAGAAGTGAGCAATGAACCGTTTTTTATACCTTGAACCCATTAAAAATGGGTAAAAGTGCAATGTACGTAACAAGCACAAGGAAGCATCTCCGACCCCATAATAGCATATATATCTAGTATCTATCATTTTTTAGCAAGCACCACCCCCCGCCATAATCAAATAAATAAACCAGATTGAATTACCCACCAATTTAAGAATTATGAATAAATTGTCTTTTTGAGAGTATGAATTATCTGTAATAAAATGAGATCTCCTGTTGAAAATTGCATTCAAATTGTTTATGAAACACAGAAGTTATTAGAGATTATGTGTGCTTATAATGACACAACTGTAATTCTTCGTTTTGTACACATAAGGAATGTCCAAGTGACTTGAGGGTGGTGTCTATTCAACTCGGTGTTTCCTCAGGATTCCATTTCAGGCGGATAACGCGATGGCAACACGATTGTCAAGTGTTGCGCAGCAACGATAATACTTGACGATGAATTTCCGATAGTGTTGAACTATCGTAAGCGCTTCGAGATGTCCGAATGGGAGCGCTAACTATTGTTGACGAATCATTATAAATATCGAATTTTTGATTTGGTGGAGGCTATTATCACTAACCAAATAACATATAGATGGGACATGCCGTACTAGACATGTGGGCAAAAAAAAATCGGTGCATCTGGTCCACAAAAAAGAGTAAAATATACATAAGATATCTTTTGATCGCTCAAACTACAGAAACTCCTTTGGCTTACTCTCTTCCATATGATTTGTGCGATAGAACGGCATCGCTGTTTATTTTTATCTCGCTCGCACTTACTCTCAGTGCTCTCAATGCTCTCTTTATGTCTAGGTACCGTTTTAAATGTATGTGTGTGTATGTGTCCCCACAAGAAAAATGCCCACAAATTCAATTTGTCTCAAATATCTTCCCTTTTGAATGGACGAGTAATATTAAATAATGAAGGGGTTTGCCACGTCGATGCGAAATTCTTTCATTTTAGCTCGTTATTGTTGGAAAGGGTACTTAAGCGTTGGCATTTGTGCATTTAAAAGTTTTCGGACTTGCTTGGTGCCTGCCTGCCTGTCCTAAGCAAATTTGACAACATTTTGGGATTTCTGAATTTCGAGCACTACTCACACACACACACAGACACAAATGTGTGTGAATGGGCAGATTATGGGCGCAAAAGAAAATTTCATTATTGGCACGCGTCTGACGTGCGCCCTTTTTTAATGATTTTGGGTTAGTCGGTCACTCTTTGTATATATACAATTAGGCTCACAATAAAAATCTCTAATTTGCATCTACATTTATATATACACAGATAATGACCAATATTGTAGAATGTTTTAACAATTATATAATATTTATTTTATATAAACAACATGTTTACAAAATATTAATCGTCATGTGTACTTATACTTATTTTCACAAGGTGGCATCTTTATGTTCCCATAGGTTAGCTTTCTACATAAGTTGGCAGCCCCTAACATACCGGCATTTTATAATAAATATTGATGCAAATTATAGACTTTTTTTTAGGCGAATCGGCCATTATAAAGCCTACACTTTCGTAACTCATTTTGGAATAGCAATTTCAAATATTGCCACCAATTGAAATATGTTGAAATATTGCCATCATTTCACAGTTTAAAATATAATATTGCCAGCTATTTTTTTTGCGTTAACATTGGGTATAATGAGAAAAATACAAAATTTGCTCAATAACTGTACCGACGATTTTATTGAAATAAAAGGAAAATGATTAATAAAGTGTGCTCTATATGCACAACTACCATGAATTTGTGGCCATTATCGGAGAAATTTATAAATATAAGTTGATATACTGACGCCATTTTACCGTATGAAATATAATATTGCCAGCTTGTTTTTTTGTATTAATGTTATGAGAGAAATAGAAAAATTAAAATTTCTTAAAATTTGTACCGACGATGTTAATGAAATAAAGGGCAAAATGATTAATAAATCGTGCTCTATATTCACAACTACCGTTCATTTGAGGCCATTATCGGAGAAATTTATAAATATAGGTTGAAATATTGACGCCAGTTTACAGTATGAAATATAATATTGCCAGCTTGTTTTTTTGTATTAATGTTATGAGAGAAATAGAAAAATTAAAATTTGTACCGACGATGTTAATGAAATAAAGGGCAAAATGATTGATAAATCGTGCTCTATATTCACAACTACCGTTCATTTGAGGCCATTATCGGAGAAGTTTATAAATATAGGTTGAAATATTGAAGCCAGTTTACAGTATGATTGATTTGTTCCCGCCCAATTCTTTATAGAATTGTTCAGCACTGTATTCAAGCAGTGGTTCAGTTCGCGTTGGAACTAGCAGTTCGATAGGCTTGATGAATGAACTATATGAGGTTTGTTTACAATTAAATTATTTTCTCAAAAGCTGTACCGTCCATTTGCTTAAAATAAGTGCCAAAAGCTTCTTTAAATATGTATCTTCAAAATGTTATAGCGTACATTTAAGGCCATTGTCCCTGAGTTAAGAAATTAGGGCTCAAGAACAAGGTTGATTTTTTCCGGTCATTTTAAAAGGGGTTGGCAAGGGGGCTGCTGCACTCTTTTCCAAATATTAAAAAAACGGTACCGACGATTTTCATAAATTTTCACCGTTGTCTAGGTGAAATTATAGGCTTTAATCGCCAAAGCCATTATCCCTGAATTAAGATATTTAAGGAATGGTGGAAACCTAATTTATCAACCCCTTGGATATTATAAGCTAAAATTGAAAAAAATAAATGTAGACAATAAATAATTAAATTTTTTGTAATTCTGCATTTAAATTCATTTGGTTTTGTGCTTAAAAACATAAATAAATGCATTTAAAACTAACCGATTCCTTTTCCGATACCAAGTGCCAAAAATCGACGCTAAGTCACCGCCGCTAACTTGACGCACATATTAATGTTTATTCAAAAATTTATGTATATCGAGCATTCCTAAGTACAACTATGAATATAAAAAAATATTTAGTCTTGTTTGGACTTAGCATAGGTAATTTTCTTTTTCAGTGATTATCGAAACAAGCCGATTAGTGTCTTATGCCTTATGCACTTTACAGATAAAACCGCTTAAAAAATTTACAATGGAAATTACTTTGGCCTTATTAAAACCGCACGTGGTTCGTAACACATACGCGATGCAGCAGTTAAAGGACTTAATTGGCAATAATTTTAATATCTTAGCAGCTAAGGAGCTACGTATAACAAAAGAACTTTCAGAGTGCTTTTACGCGGACCACAAGGACAAATTTTTTTATCATCGACTTACTACCTTTATGCAGAGGTCTGTAAAAGGTACCTATAATATTTGATTCTTTCTAAAAAAAAAAGTTATAGCGGTCCCTGCTACGCAATAATACTGCAATCTGAGTTATGCATACAAAAATGGCGTCGACTAATGGGTCCCACCAAGGTGTTTAATGCAGTATATAACGAACCGGAGTGCATACGCGCTCTCTATGGACTCTCAGACACTCGCAATGCCTGCCATGGATCAGATAGCGCAGTCTCTGCGCGGCGAGAGATTGCAATGCTATTTCCGGAGTTCGATGTAGGTCAAGTCCGTATTGATGCCAATTAAGCTTACAATAAAAGGAAAGTCACAATCCAAAACAATTAATAACTTCATATAAATAATGCAAATTGAATATCACACTTTTAATAATACTTAATTGATTGCAAACAGCCTCTTTTTGTTTTACATTTGTTGGTTTTTGCAAAAATCGGTCAGTGATTTGTGAACTTCATCTAGCGAAAGATTATGGGAAAAAAATCAAATATATTATTTATCTCTTGTAAGGCGCCTCTCGCTAATAGGGTAAGCCAAAGCTCTGGAGGTCGAATTGCGATGCCCCAGCATTGGCGTTGCGGCAGCTGAGAGAGTGAATTTCATCGCCAATCTTTTTGCGGAGATCAAGTTTGAGTACATCATTTTTGATGTACCAAGGAAGGCCGGCCAACTTGCTTGACGCCTGGGCACGAATTACCCTTAGCCGTAGGTGGACCGATGCCGTACCCCAAATTTTGTCGTAGGTCCAACGGGAACATAACACCCGCAGATTTGGCCCAAATAATTGTGATATTCTAATCCGCTGTCCATCTTTTGACCTGTAGCATTCAGTCTTGCACTGCATCTGTTACAACCTCCAGGGATTAATGTGATGCCAGTCGTCAGCGTACGTAGCTAGCAGTAGTCGCGCAGGATCCTCATTGGTGTTGTTACACCCAGCCGCTTATAGTTTTTGGTGCTCTGCGCTCCTGACGGGTATGCAAAACGTACATCCAGCTAGGAAAGAGCCAAAAAGTTGGAGTATGACGCTGGGAGATGAGACTTCTGTTTGAATATTAGGAATGAATATCAGTATTTAGTATGTTTAAATTTTTTATAACTAGCGGATATTGATCGGCATTGCCTGTGGGGCTAAAAATTAAAGATTACTACACTTCTATCTAAAAATAGCATTAAAGTGCATACAATAAAAAAACGAATGTTGGAATCATCGTTTTCTGACCATATCAAAACCGGTGAACTTTGTGAAAAACATGTTAAATAAATTCTATCAAACATATTTGAAACCGATGATAAACAAAAAAGTTGCAAATTTTCTGCAATATTTACACAGTTGTGGGTGTTGTCCAAAATCGCTTAAGCACAGATTCATTTTATTTTAATGTAGGACTTTGAAAATAAGTTTGAAATCAATTGGGCAGAACTTAAAACACCGCTCTTATAACCTCTAATCCGCATTTATTATCATTATCATGATGGGCGGATTCTGCAAAATGTTTGAAACACGTCTCAAATAATTTTTCGTAAAGATCATTGGAAATGAATTTGAAAGCGAAACTTCAGCTAGTGCGTTAAGCACATAAGGTAATCAGGAAGCTTTTATGGTTTAGGCTGTGCATTGATCACCAATCAGTCAGTAAGTCTGTCAGACAGTCAGAGATTATATTTTACATAATACAACATGTAGTTCACAAAAAGTACGTGAATATTAATAACTACAATTATTACTACTAAAACTTTATAAAAATGATTTCTTTATTGTTGATGCTGCATGATGTGGATGCAACAAAGTAACCGACTACTAGGTGTAGGCGACGTTGGGCCGTGTTCATGCTTTCAACCATATTGATTAAGGGTGATGAGGCCGCTAACCATAGCACACATCCCAATACCCAGACTGAACGCAGGCTCGGCGCATTGCCTTGCGTGCAGGAAGATATTCATCAGCGACATTAGTAGCGCTTCCACGTCTACGAACCACCCATACAGATGCATTGTACGGCGACCGTGAAGGTCTTATAACGGCGTCGCGCAACAACTGATGTAATTGTTTCTCTACTTCTCTTGACATGTGTTCAGTTCTTACATTAATGTTATAGACCGCTTGTGTTGCTAGTTGTTTAATTTTAATTCTATAGTTACCATTTTTTATTAATAAATAATTGTTAACGTCAATAACAGCGTTAAGCTGTTTTAGGGTATCATTCCCTAATATCCCATGAAAAGTTTTGAGTGTGGGTAATAAGAAAAATTTGATTGGCTTATTTTCTTGAGAAAACAAAATAATGTAGGTATGGTATGTTATTTTTGTATGTTCACCAACTGAGTGCGAAAAATTTCGTTTGCCTGGGTGGGGCCAGTTCATATAATTTATGTTTCTGGATCGCATGGAGCCATCTAAATCCATTGGTACGGGTTTGGGCTCCGGCTGGGGAGCGAGTGAGCGCGGAGGCGCTATTGTTGGTTGTGTACTCTGATAATTCGCGATTGGTCGTAGGATATAGTACAGTTTCGGATCGAAGTCTCTCCCCTGTCCAGAACTATTACTTTATATAATTATTGGTAGTTGGTATCTAGGATGAGGGTGAACTGAAAAATGTCTAGGTGGTAAAGGTGGCGGTTGTTGTCTAATTTTGGGTATAAAATAATCTTTTTGTTCTTGGTTGTCTACTAAGCTGCACAGATGTAAGGCGTCGTTCAGATCTCTTGGCTCCTTGATAGCCAGGAGTCAAAATATATCACCATTTAGACCTCGCATGAACGTGTCCAAGGCTTTGTCTCGGTACCTATTCGTCAAAGCCCTTACTATTTCTGTTGTGTAATCTAGTAGCCTTATCTGTTTAAGGATCAAAGACAACTGGTGGTATACCGTTTGGTAAAATTCAGTAACGACAGACGACCCTGTGTCAGTGGGAATTTCTGATAGTCGAGAGTTTTTAAATCTCGCTTATCGGCGTAATGTTCTGTAAGACACTTGAAGAGAGCTTTCCAATTCATTGGGGTCTTGTACGAATCAAGCACAGTATCCGCTTCTTCTATTACTTTCTCTCGTATGGCTAGAGTATTTAAATAATATTTGTAGGCCTGCTCTTGGCCCTTATAAATGGTCATTATTCTTTCGACGCTTCCATGACCCAAATGTTGTTTTATCTCCCGAGAATTCCCTTATTAAACGCGCTAAATGGGGCACTTTTTCTGCATTTTCGCCCTGAGTCGGACTCGTGAGCGGAATTACAGTTCAATACTCGCCAGTTTCTTCAATAATGGCATGGCGTATTATTTCACCTTCCTGAAGCGTATCCTTAATAAAGCACAAATTCACTTGCTTTAGTCCCGGACTAACGGGTTACTGTTGGTGAAATGTCCATTTGGTGGACAGCTGGAGCAAGTTTCATGTTAGATAGCGCGTCAGAAAGATCTTTTTCTTAAATTTTTAATTATTCGGACAACTCTCGGACAGCTCAAGTCTCAGAGCACTCTTTTGCAAAATTAACTACGAAATGCGAAAGCTGTGTTTACTGTGTTTTGTTGTATACAGAGTTTTATTTACTCTATGTCAGATTAATTTGCGATTTATTATTATCTACTATTGTTAATTTTTTTTTTTTTAGATCCAGTGGCTGGTTTTCGCCTTCTATTCTTGAGGGTCCCTTGGGAGTCGCAGAATTGAAGTGTTTAATACTGCGAGTGCAGTGCTTTATTTGTTTATCGTTTTACGTTTTTGGTTGTAGGCCACTTATTGTGTTATTTTATTTATTTGTACACTTGTTTTTGCACTTCGTCTTTTCTCTTATTAATGCACGATTATTAAGCAGACACTTATGCAATAGATGCTTGAGCGTGGTGTACTTTATTAATATATACAAATTATAAATGGATTTGCAATTAGATGATGACTTAATCTAAATGTAATAATAAAATATATTGATCTTAAAATGTGCCAAAGTTGAGAATAAAAATTGTAAAGAAGTTTATTGTTTTGAAATTAATTTTCGTTTAAATTTTTTTTGTCACTAAAGCACTAGGCGCTCACGATAAGTAACATTAGGCGAATCTTCCGCGCTGGTCCTTTGGATTTTTTTCTTTTTGTCTCGCGGTGCAAAGCGGTGTGGCGACGGCGGGTGACTTGGGATTCTACGAGAGACTTGTGCGGTACCCTGCGAACTGGTAATACAGGGTGTTCGGCGATAGCGCCGGAAAACGTTAGAGGATGAACCCGGCAAAAATTGTCTTTACGATTCGCTCTCGCGCTGTGGCTCTTTTGAGGCACTTTTCGAAGTACTTAAACTTTCGCGCGTTGTGGCTCTTTTAGAGGCACTTTAATTTCGCGACACGTTATCCTTCATTAGCTTTAACCGGTCCCTGCTCGGACGCCAATTAAAACAATTGTTAATTGTTTTTTATAAAAAAACACAACCGTTTCCTTGAGTGCTGCTTAAGAACTAATTTGACAATTATTTGATTTAATATTAATTAGCCTCGAACTGCTGCTGCTGCTTGCGTCTTGTCGCTGTAGTTTTGTCGCCGCTGCCGCTGCTGTCGCCGTTGCCGCTTTGACGCTCCCGCCCCATCGGTTGGTGTCGGGTGCTCAGGTTGGATCACACGGTGGAGCTGCCCCAGCACACGTTATCAAGCTGGTACTATCATAAGGTCAGACGTCAGAACCCATGGATTAGGCAGTGCACGTAATAGGGAAAAGGTCAAGCCGCTAACATGCCGGTTGAAAATGTAGAGGGCCATAAAGTTCAAATTACGTCTAAACATATGACAGGCCAGAGGCGGTTGCACAACACTGTATAGCAGGCCTCTGATGACCAAGACAACAATAAGGCGGCCACAGTGACGGTAGCCGAGGCATATGTCAATAAAAAGTCGAATTAACGAGAGTGTTCCAAGATAGAGCAAAGGCATTTTCGATCTCTAATATGTACGTCAGTTGTGGCCACAATCCACACGGAAGACGACAACCCGATCTACTCGAAAATGTACCCTCACCCCATGGGAGTAGCTGATTTCGTAAAAAAAAAGAAAGAATTATTACATAATGCCATCATTAGACCCTCAAGATCACCGTACAATATCCCAACTTGGGTTGTTGATAAGAAGAGTTGTAACGAAGAATGCTGCAAGGATAATCGCCTTGCCATACACCTTAGAAAGCTTAATAAGCGAACTATTGCCATTCCCAACATTCTTATGATATTGGCCAATCTGGGTAAAGCCAAATACTTCACGATATTGCATGTTAAGTCTGGTTATCATAAAATTTTTTGGCCGAGCCAGACCACGAAAAAACTTCTTTCTTTATAAAAGGCGGAAAATATGAAAATATCCTGTCGACTACCGTCCGCATTGAAGAATGCTGGAAGCATCTTCCAATGAGCGATTGACGATG